TTTACACGAAGACAGGATCAAACGATGATATATTAGGGATAATTTTTGCTAAACAGAGATATTGTATTATCTGGAGCAGTCTTTTCTACTTAAAAAGAGTAGCAACAGCTGTAGGATAGCTATTTGGTGTCAATTATCATGCCTCCTTGAATATCGTCAGATATGGAACATTTTCATCACAGACGTGTGCCATCTTAGACGCATATTTCCAGAGAAACACACTCTGTGTGGCATTGGGACTTAACGACGCACTCAGCTGCCGCGAATACGTGGCGTCGCCTGTCTCTCACCATGGCAGGAAGGGCGGACACGAAAAACATACTCTGGTGAAAGCTCACGACCAGTTATATCTAACAGCAACACTGGAGAGCGCCACATTACGAGGTACTCCCCACCAGAAGTGCCGCCAAGAAGACAAAAGGGCAAACCAATTACAGTCATTTTTGAGCCGAGCGCAGTCAACGTTTCGTCGCAGTGCCCAGACTTTTCTCTCTATGCAGCCCATTTTTTGGCTGGGCGTTCTTGACGGAATATGTTCACCGTTGCGGATGTGTGCTAATAGTTCACGCTGGTCTTGTACCAAGCTGGTGTACGAATTGATATGGAATATATAGAAAATTTACTTGGGGACACCAGCATCCGACTCTTGGTACACATAAAGTGCGGTGGTCAGAATTTACTCCGATATTCATAGATATGTGAGAAGAAATGAACGCCTGTAGCTGCTACACCGGGTAGAGAAAATGATTTAGTGATGAGTGATTTTAAGTAACTTTATAAAGTAATCTCATCAACGCCCCTGTCGCCTCTTGTGTTTTTCCAATCCCTGGAAGGTTGCCTCTGTCATCCCTCTTCACAACCCAGGCCATCGTGACATTGCTGGTAATTTCAGACCCATACCAATTTCACTTGTGATGTCCAAAATATGAGAAAAAATTGTGCACGAGCAACTGTCGTCCTACCTCATTACCCATGGTCTTTTCGCTCCATCACAGTACGCTCGTAAACATTGTTACCCAACACAGGACGCCCTCGTCAACGCCGTTGAGTGGGCGGTACGTGGAGTTGGCGTTGGAGACATTGTCATCGTCACCTCCATTAATCTCAGCCGTGCCTTGGATGGTGTCGACCACGGTGTCCTGATTAAGCTGCAGTGATATGGCATCGATCCGAAATGGCTTGAGGGCCACCATGCTGGTCGGCAGAAGGTGGTGAGATGCGGTCCCCTCTCTCTTTTCCGCTGACTCACGGGATCCCTCAGGGATCCTCGGTCGGCCCTATCCTCATCATCTTCACTAACGGCCTTTCATTTCACCGCCCTCGCGGACGGCTAGTGTCCTATGCCGACGACAATTGACTGCTAGACTTCCGCTCATCCGGACCAATTGTCTGTTTTGAAACCCCGTCAGGAGGAAACCATCCAAGTGATTTCATCCCACTTCACATCCAACCCCATTAACTGAATCCCACCGAAACAACTCTGCTTCTTCTTGGCACTCAACAATGCATGAAGAAAACCTTATCTTTTCACCCCGATATTGTGGGACACGAGTTGAGCCCTTCGCCGTCCGTGAAGATGCCGGAAACTGCTATTGAAAGTATCCTTTTCTGTGAGATGCACTCATCCCATGTTGTCAAAAAATGCAACTCCACCCTTTCTACTCTTATAAAATTCGTCGCCACTTAACACCCGCAGTTCGTAAACTTCTTATCCAGTCACATGTCTTCCGGAGCCCCATGCCCGGAGCCCCGTAGCCCCCTCCATCTTCTGTACTGCCCCTCGGACTGTGGCGGAGCTGCGGCATGTCACCTAGGGAGGAGTGCCACCTAGCACTGCCCCTGGCACCTAGGAGTGCCAGGGGCAGATCAACTTCGGAGCCAGGATCGTCACCGGTACTCGTCGGTGAGGTTCAATGGCGGTGACTGCTCGAGCGCCAGGCTGGCGCGGTGTCAGTGACCTTGTCACTCACCGTGACGGTCTGGCTTGTACAGGGCCTTTGTAGGGAATCTTCCACATTTGAAGGTATTTAAGAAAACATCAGATGTGATAAGTTACGCTCACTCATAAGTATTGTTGCACTTTTAGGTGGAAAAGGGTACTCACAATTTACTCACAAAAGGGTACTCACAACAACACAATTTCTCTGTTAAGTAGATATGCACATCAATATGCCAGTCTTTTAACGCGTTTTCGTACCTCGCACAGCATTGATTGAGAGCCGGTTGACAGCCGTTATGTCTCGAAATTCATGCTCACGAACGCCAAATATGAAAAAAACTCGGCGTCATATGTTATTTGACCTTGGTCGCCGCATGGCCAACAGCATGCATGGTCTAGATCGGTGCATGGTAGAATCTGAAGAGCGTTATCATGGCGTCATGAATGCCCGAGTGAACTCGAAAAAAATCCCTGAAAAGTATGCGCCTGCCCGCGGGCGTTTAACTCAGAAACTAGAAGGGTTTAGGTCTTAAGAAAAGCAGGTCCGTGAACTGCATCGGATGGTCTTCAAGATGGCTACTTCAGTTCAAAACTCCATGCAAATGTGGACCACCAAATGTGGATGCGGGCGACAGGGCCGGCCGACGCCTGCCCTCCCCGCCCCGTGGCGGATTGATCGCGGCAACTGTCGATGGTGCCCTGATCACCAGAGGCAACTGTCGATGGTGCCCTGATCAACAGAGGCAACTGTCAATTGATCACCAGAGGCAACTGTCGATGGAACCCTGATCACCGGAGGCAACTGTCGATGGTACCCTGATCACCGGAGGCAACTGTCGATGGTACCCTGATCACCAGAGGCAACTGTCGATGGCACAGTGATCGCGAGTCTATCATACCAGGTTTGCTCGCACGGAACCGAAGGGCATCTGTTGCCACACCAGGGTCATTGTAATCTGTGTTATGGGTGCTGGAGCGTCTCGTGACGCTCGTGTGTTTTGTGGGATGTGTGCGCCTTGAATAACACAGAGGGGGACTGAAATACGCCAACTTCTAGTCTCGTAAAACCTACTTCAGCAGAATCACGATTCCGAAGCGTACTTACTGTAAACGGGGTACCAGCCTGGTCTCCAAGACTAAGAGCGGATTGACCAGGCGGTCGGTGGACGTTGCTGGGATCACAAGCTTTGTCCACACAAAGATGATTGCCCGAATGTTGTGCGAAACATGATCCGGACTCCAGCGTGGCAGGATAGTCATGACACGAGGCGTCCATCGCTGATGAACACATAGCTTGAGGTTAGCTGGCTACCATCTGAATGACATCACAACTGCGATTTTGGGTATTGTGGTAGATTACTTGTTTTTTATCTGCAATTAAAAACGAACCATCCAGCCTGCTAATACAATGCTCTGCTGCCGACGCCAATGGAACAGCTACCTGTTTCCCCTCCCACTGAAAGATATGAAGATGATTGCCGTCAAAAGGTGCTTCGTCTAAGTGGGGCCTCGCATTCTGAAATGACCGCCAAGCAGTACGACAAGGTCACATGCTGTGGTGGGGGGGGGGGGGGGGGGGGCTCGTGCCACATTCCCCACTGCTCAGTGGACACAGTTCGATCGGAGCGGTAGTTAAACACACTTTATTCGATAATGGATAAATACGCGACACACTACGAACCAACACTGTGATATGAATGCAGGCACAGTGTACAAATATCAAGCGTTAAACAGCGTACGGTAGCGGACCAGTGCAGGTGCGACAACAATCCACGTTGCATAGGTGCGGTGGGGCCGGCGAGGGCCGGCGGCGACGTGAGACCACAGCGGCTGCCGGCGGCGGCGTGAGACCACAGCGGCCGCCCGGCAGCTGTCGACAGACGGCCGCCCCCGGAGTGTCGCCCCAGCACGGCGGTGCGCCCGCGGCCGGGCAGCCGCCGGCTCCACGGACAGGCAACGGCGCCAACAAACGCAACAATATATCACAGAAGGGGAGCCGAACGGCGGCCGGCTGCGTCCAGCGCCGCCGCCGAACCCAGCCCCGCGTAGAGCGCGACCGTGGAAGACGGAAGTTGAACGTAGCGTGATCAAGTATCGATAAAAGCATATTGCACCGACGTAACGCAGCGCGAGGTTCGCCGACTGGCCGCCGAACAGACTCGCGTGACGACGGGCCGCGCCCGACAGAGGGCGGGCCAACATATCACAAGGGCAAACGCGCTACAAAAACAGGGGCCCGCCTCCGCCGCGTTGAACACTAGCCCGACAGCGGGCGGCAGCGGAGACGGCAGACGATGGGGTGACTGGCCGGACGCGGGCCGGGCAGGCGCGGCCCGCGCCCCTGTGGGGGTCGCCGGGGGCGGCGGCCGGGCGGACAGTCGGCGCTACTTGGCGTCGGTTCGTCGGCTGTGCGCCGTGTCCAGCCGCAGGAACTCCTGCTTGAGGTAGCTCAGCGTCTTCATCAGCACCTCCTTCTCCTCACGGAGGCCCAGCACCTCGTCTTCGGCCTCCCGACACCTGGCAGTACGCGGGTCAGGTCAGGTCAGGTCAGGATCAGCATCAGACCAGACCAAGGTCGCAACACGCCAGGTCAAAGAGACACAGCCAGATGGTGGGGTCGCGCCAAAACAGGTCGAAGAGACGACCTCTCTGGCTGAGCACCCAACCGAAACAACATCCCCACCCAAATAAATATCACACCTGTCTCATCCCCACAGCGCACCACTGACCGACCCAGCCCCTGAACCATCGGCCGACGCGCCACCAGCGGGCGCCCGCGGCCAGTCCGGCGACGTCGGCGGCAGCGGCGACGGCAGTCTCACCTGGCCTCCAGCGCGGTCAGCTGGCTCAGCCGCTGCTCGGAACCGCGCCGCTGCTCCAGCTGGTCCTCCAGCAGCTGGCAGCGCCGTCGCAGCCGGCCCAGCTCGCCCTCCGAGCCTGACGCAGGGTTGTTGAACGAGCTGGCGACGTCCACCAGCGAGCAGGAGCCGGAGGGACCGGTGCCGGCGCCAGCGCCACCTGCCGCCGCAGACGCGTCGGTCAGCGCGGCCGCGCGCCATCGTCACGGACGCCTGTGTCGCCGCTCGAAGCATTTGTTCGCCACCTCGTCACAAGTTTCACCAGTCAGCATCGGTTTCTCGAGCACACCAGCCACGTAGCGAGTCTGCTTCAGGATGGAAAACTCTCCAGGAACGTAGACGAATGCATCAGCTGAAGCAGCCATGCGATCTGTGCTGATGTTCACAACAACCTTCTTACAACCAAACACACATTTTAAAGCGAGACTGCTGGTCACATCCGCACGCACCGGCACAGCGAAATTCCGTCCACTGAAATGCATGCATGGCAGCACACAAACCTCGCTCAACGCATGGCGCAAGATCATCTTAACCCTGCTCTGTGTGATGAGCCTATAACTAATCCACGCGTGCCCTCCAACACACTCTACCCGGGCCAGCTCTGGTGTCGCCGGCCGTGGGCCGTCTCCGCTCACCTGGCGTCGGCTGCTGGACGGTGAGCAAGCGTGCCCTCCAACACACTCTACCCGAGCCACCTCTGGTGTCGCTGGTCGTGGGCCGTCTCCGCTCACCTGGCGTCGGCTGCTGGACGGTGAACACACCGGCGCCATCCCTCGTGACGTGCACGGCCGGCAGGCGCAGGTCGAGCGGCACCACGCCCGGGCTCGTGATGTTGTTGGACAGCCGGTCTTCTGTGAGGCGCAGCTTGATACGCTCCAGGTGCAGCTGCGGCGACGGGGCGATCGGTGGAGGAGCAGGCATGACATGAGGGAGGGGGTGGCATGGGGTCGGGCTCTGTGAGAGCCAGCGTGCCACACCCACCGGTGGGTGCATGAGCCCAGTGCGGAGCGGCTGCCCACTGACCACCAACAGGTAACAAGGCTTGCCAGGGAGTAAAACGAAGGCAATTCGCATGCTGAGATGTACCGGGACTGCGAGTAGCGATCACAACATGACATGTTCTTGGTGGCGGACAAAACAGACATCATTTGTCTTCCTTTCTTACCATATTCAAACCAAGAAAACCGGACGTGACGTCTTGACGCTTCAGGTCGCCGCCACGCCAGGTAAACACGACAGCTCGCGGTGCATGTTTCCCCTCAAAGAGGAAAGGGGGAGGGGCAGCCCACACGGCCGAGGGCCGGTCCGGCGTCCGTTCACTCACCACGTCCCGCTTCCGCATGGCAGAGGAGAGCGACATCTCGCTGTGTGTGTCCTCAGTCACCTCGCTGGCGATCTCCACCGACGGCACCCGCTTCAGCGCCCCCTCCACCACAAACAGCGGGTCCACGGACTCTGCGGGGAGGACGAGCGGCCATCAGCATGCGCCCCACCACATCGAGGAGAGCGTACACACTGAGCCGACCAGGTGACCTTCCGAACAGCTTACAATACAGGGATACGCGAGTTGGGGTGTCTCAGCCGCCATAGCCCATTAGAATGTCGACCCAACGGTGTTGAATAGACAGGAGAGCGGCAGCGGGGCTTTCACTGGCTGTTGAGACGAGCCAGCCGCACATCCTCAGCATGAAGACGGCGCTCACCAAACGGATGCCAGGGGTCATCTTGGACATATCCATGTGAAACGTACAGCCATACATAACGCCATTTCTCGCCAAGGGATAACAGTGGAGGATGGAAGTTTAATTGAGTGAGAACATCCATCATCCGCCGCGCCGCTCCCTTCACACACCGAACAGTAAGCATGACACACCGTGTGCTTCAGCTCAAGCGAATTACTCATATGTCATGCTTAAACAGACACTAACGACGCCGCAGGTGGGCGAGCGCACTGACCCGACTTGTCAAGCTCGAGGTTGAGTAGCACGTAGCTGTCCGAGTCGGACGACATGTCCGACATGACCGACATGGTGTCGCTCTGGTCGTCGGGGCTCTTGAGTGCCGAGTACAGCGACGACAGGAAGCTGTTGAGGCCGCGCTTCACCTGGCTCAGGCTGGCGCCCAGCTCGGCCAGCGGCGGCGTGGGCGAGCCGGCGGCGCCGCTCGCCTGGCCGCCGGCGCCGGCCCGGCCGCCACGTGGTTGGCCTCGGCGGCGACGGCCGGCGGTGGCGGCGGCGCGGGCGGCGGCTCGTCGGCAGGCAGCAGCGCCGCCGTCACCTCCGAGAGCGAGTCGACGCGCGTCGGCAGCAGGCCCGCCTCCTGGAAGCTGGTGACGCTGGACGAGTCGGGAAAGACGGACAGGTCGCCGCCGGACGAGCCCTTGCTGGAGAGCAGGCAGGGCATGAGCAGGCTGATGTCGAGCTGGGGCAACGCGGCGCTGACACACTGGCTGCCGGCGCCGGCCGCGCCCAGCAGCCGCTCGGCGTCCAGCGTCAGCAGCGCCGACATCTCCGACAGCCGCTCCAGCTGGCGCAGCAGGAACAGGTACTGGAAGTAGTTCAGCTGCAGGCTGATCAGGCTCGGCACGTGCAGCACCATGGTGAGATCGCTGACGCGGCCATCGCTGACGCTGCCCCTTGTTGCAGTTCTGGTACACCCACATGGAGACGGGAATGGCGTCGATGAACGGCACCGGCCGGTGGCGCACGGCCGACGTGCCGAAAAAGTCGCCCCAGAATGGGTCCATGTGGATGAAGACGACGTCGCGCGGCTCCTCCCAGAGCAGGCGGCCGGGCAGGCCCCGTCGGAAGTCCGGCACCGAGGCGACCACGTCCGCCGGCGCCGGCTGCACGTGGTCCTTACCTGGCGGCGGCGGACACGGTCTCCATGTCAGACGCGCCCGCCGCACAACAACGCCGACTGGCCACCGACCATGCGCGTGGGCCCAAACACAGGCTCGCAGAACGGAAGACATCGAGAATAAACACAAACAAACCGGTGAGCCGCACATCCCACACTTGGGATCAGCAGCGAAGACAGCAATAGTGACAGTCACCGTGCTCATAGGAAACGCACGTGCTGTACCCCGGTGACTGACATTACAGGCGGCAAGCATCCGGCGCACGGGCAGTTGCACCAGAGCGCCGCAGTAGGCAGCCAGTCAGACGGACCAGGGCATGGCGAAATTCGCTTATAGGCGCCCGCCGCAAAATAGCACACTCTGGAACACGGCGGCCCCTTAAACCAGCGATCGTAACTACCAGAGTTTTGAAACCGGATACTTGCGACAGAGGCCGGGGAAGAGGGCTGTTCGGGCAGGGGCGGCAGCGGTCCAGGACGTAGCGAGTGTGTGCTGCATCAGCCAGGTTCGGACAGGGGGCGGCAGGCGTCGAGGACGTACCGAGTGTGTACTGCACCAGCCTGTCGGGCAGGGGACGGCAGAGGTCGAGGATGTACCGAGAGTGTACTATACCAGCCGGTCGGGCAGGGGGCGGCAGAGGTCGAGGACGTACTGAGTGTGTGCTGCACCAGCCGGTCGGGCAGCAGACGGCAAAGACCGAGGACATACCGAGTGTGTGCTGCACCAGCCGGTTAGGCAGCAGACGGCAGAGATCGAGGACGTACCGAGTGTGTGCTGCACCAGCCGGTCGGGCAGGGGGCGGCAGAGGTCGAGGATGTATCGAGTGTGTGCCGCACCAGCCGGTCGGGCAGGGGACGGCAGATATCGAGGACGTACCGAGTGTGTACTGCATTAGTCGGGTTCGGGCAGGGGGCGGCAGAGATCGAGGACGTACCGAGTGTGTACTACACCAGCCGGTTGGGCAGGGGGCGGCAGGGGTCGGGGACGTACCGAGTGTGTACTGCACCAGCCGGTCGGGCACCATCTGCAGATCACCGTCGCGGGCCGGGAAGTCGGAACCGAACGCCATCTCGCCGGCCTGCAGCCGCTCTAGGCACTTGGTCAGGCCGGCCAGCGACCTGCCGCGCGCACGCAGACATCACACAGCGGTCCGCTGAGCTGTCGGCGACGCGGGACCGAACGGGCCGGACCCACCAGTGAGCCGGCAGACACGCGGATCCGACGGGCCGGGCCTACCAGTGAGCCGGCGGAGACGCGGGTTCGAACGGGCCGGGCCCGCCAGTGTGCCAGCGGAGACGGCAAGCCAGGCCCATGACGACGGAGCTGCCGCTGCCACGTACATCCCACACGCAAACACTCGATCAAAAGTCTGAAGCGGGTGCCAGACTTGGCCAGAGGCATTTCGCAGACACGGACCGCCTCACACCTTGTCCGTCTGGCAGGGACCTGACACCAACACACAGACGTGACGCGGATCTGTCGGGCGGCGCGCACCGGGCACCTGCCGGTCACGCGTGCCATACATAGCTGCCTCTACGGGGGCGCATCCCGACTTTTCAGGCACACATCAGGGTTGCGTAAGTCTGGCAAGCGGTACATCCTCACACTATATGCAGACTACGTAAACGTTAACGCCCCGGCACCAGACCACCTGAAAACGGTACATACCAGGACCTCGTTCATCAGTACACACTCTAGTCATTCCATCAGTGTCAGGGCACATACCCCGGCTCCGTGCAGCAGCACGTACCCGGGCGCAGTAGGGTCGGGCGAGCGGTAGTTGCAGACGAGCAGGCGGGTCGTCTGCAGCTGGAGCGTGCTCGGTCAGGTCGCGCTGCAGCGGGTAGTCGTGCGTCGTCTCTAGCACCAGGCGCGGCATGATGGCCTCCAGGCGCAGGTCGATGTACGGCGCCGGCGCCGAGCCGGCCGTCGACAGCGACTTGGTCAGGTTGCACGCGAAGGCGTTCAGCCACAGCACGGTGATAGGGTCGACGATCACCTGTACCGGGTTGACGTGCACCATGGCCTTGGGCGGCGGCACTGCGGTGGAGAGCGGGCGAGGGGAGGGTTAACGGGCCGGCGCCAGAGGGCGCCGGGCGCCGGCGTCAATTTTTATAGGTTTTCAACAGTTCAGCGGATTAAACGAGGAGTAATTGCAAGTCATTGCTATGATACAGGGTACATCTGACTTAGACTTCAAATACGCGAAAAATACGTGTACATGCAAACGAATTCCAGTTAACAGGTGGCATCACGCTAATACATCATTCATGCATGCAAGTGACTTCAAGAAACTAACTGCAAGTAAACAGGCATCGCGCACCACGTGTCACTTATATCCATGCAAACGAATTCAATAAACTAGGCATCGAACATCACGCGTCAGGCATCGCTCAGACATGAACACGATTCTAAAGGGGATGTTCCACCTTTGAAGCTATTGAGGTGAGCATCAGATATGGTGGGAAAAACTTACTTGCAGCTATTGGTAAACTTTCAAGGCTTAAAAACGACCCTAAGTAGCAAAATATTAGAGTTTGTAAAAATGCGCTCCATTACGTCATCGCTTGATGGCGTCATGAAATCAATTTGTGACGACGGCATCACCCGACAGCATCTGGCAGCCAGACCTAAAGAATGGCTCCAAATGCACGAAAGCTAACGCCAGCCGGCCATTCTCATCGCGGGCGCTGTGTCGGATGGCGGTTTAGTGAATGGCTTGTTTGTGGATTTTTTGTCTTAGTACTGATCGTAGGAAAAGCTTTGGTGGGCTGTTTGACAAACGCAACGTACCGACCGCCAGCTTTTATAGGCAGATTATTCACATCACAGCACGATATACTGTGAAAATTGTCGTACAGTGCCATGAATCTCTCACCGAATCCTGTCAAGAACTGTTAAGGATGTCAATACTGTATTGTAGACCTATGCTTGCCTGCAGTGCTGTAGTCCTGACATTGATATCTTATGATGTGCACAGTCGTTACTTTCTTTAATATTTGTAACTGGAAATGCAGTCACATGCGAAGATAAACAGTACATCTATAACATTGCTATGAATTGATTACCAAAGTATTGTCATTGCTATGGTGAAGATGATGAGGTTGAGCTACCACAAATGTTTTTCTTGCTCAGGACTATTCACGCATTCGCTGGTTAACGCTGATATAATCATGTGATACAGCGGCAATCTCATGGGTGATAGCCCTTTGCCAGTGTTAAATTGTTTGTTGCCAGTCATTCATAAATGCATAAACTGTTATCTTATAGGCTTGAAATACAGTAGTCAACTAATGTGGCACATTGTGTAACGGCACAGCTCAACAGAGTCATTGTGGCACCACCTCATTGCTGTTCTGTGGCATGGCATAATGGACAATGACGCGGTTGTTGTACTGCAGTCCCTGCTACTTTCATAATAAATTTCATCATGAGAAGATGAATCGAGCGTGCATTGTTATATTAACGCCGCGTCTGACGTATGACTGACCAGAAGAACACATGATACAGTATACAAATTACTTTAAAAAAGCACACAATGACCTCACTTGCTCAGCCTATTTTGGGAATCCACAAAACGACGGTGACAAAGGCGTAAACATGTCTTCTGCTTCCACAGCCATGCAACATGCCGCAGCCATCAGGATGCTCCACTCAAAAGTATTGTTCACACAAGTAATAGCACACGTATAACAACAAAATATTACATGTAGTGAAATAACACTGCAAACCTGCTGACTGCACAAAGCTGAAGATAGGACAGGTGCATGTAGTTATATTAGATGGGCGAAATGAAAGGCAGTGACGAAGCTGCCAGTGCACACAAGGCTCACGATAAAGATATTGTTGAGTGCCATCCAAGAAAGCAACAACAATACTCTTTCATCTTTCCCAGCACCCAGCAACTCACACAAGTTGCAGTGACTATGACATAAACCACTTACAAGCAATGCTTGCCTGCCTACAAAATTTGTTGAAACAGTAATATTTGCATCCATAAAAATGCATCTCTATATGTTTCGAATTATTAATGGAAAAGCAACTTGCAAACTCGCATCATGCAAGTTTATACCACGCATATGCATTAATAAGCCTCACGGAGCTGCCCCTACTGCCAAAGTGAATTGCTAATATAACGGCATGCAAGGAATTAATCACATGCCTTACTACCTCAATAGGTTCAAAATGTTGGCAAATCATAATGAAGTGGCAAGGTGTCTTTGTACACCCCTGCAGTATAGAAAGTGCTAGTGTTTCTTCCGGTTTGCTGGCATCACTACCTTGTCATGTTCAAACAAAAACACAAGGAAAGAGGCGGATATCGATATATCATATTCTATTGGGAGTCATCAAACTGAAAGAAGTACCAAAACAGTGCTCCCTTTCAGAAGAACAAAGCTCGCACGCACACTCCCCATCACTTTAAGATCAATACAAGCACGCACCACCAGTGACCATATCCATTGAGAGCGCCTGATGCACACACTTACGTCAAATAAGTGTGATCCCGCACTTGCACAGCCCGCGGACTGTCAAACTGCAAGTTTTCTCACAATTTAGGCACAGGCTTTCGGTTATAACGCCGCATTTCACCGTGAGCTCCCTCCAAAACATGGTCTAAGCGGGTGTTCGTGACAATGCAACTCAATATATTATACTTGTAGGACACATATGGAAGGACCCAATTTTGTGTTCAATATTTTAATTTGTCATTCAGGTGTGTCTTGGATATCTCGTAATATATACATATATGTATATATATATATATATATATATATATATATATATATATATATACATATATGTATATTGCTCCGGTGTACATGCGCCAACCCAGCTGTCTGTAAAAAATAAGTCAGTAGAAGAAGGGGAAATACTGGCAGCAGGAGAAAAACGACAGATTTGCCGTCGCGTGTTCTTTTTTATACCATTCGAAGAGTGCCGTTCTTTTTTCCCTTCCATAGAAACAAGGAAAATGCTCCGTTGACGAGTGCTGTACAACCCGACAGTGCTCACGCTTACGTTCGCGACACACACTCAGCAGCGAAATCTTACTGACAGCCATCATCTTCTACTGATTGTATCATACGTGCCGCATCACTGCTTTCGCGAATGAATCGGCGGCCGTGCTGTTTTTGACCATAAATTGAGAACAGCCTGTAAAATGACGGCGATCGTATGACGTTTCTATGACGACATCAATGACAATGTGGCTTTAAAAAAGTCTCCCCACAAACATTTCCCACTTTTGCGGACGTGTAACTCAGGAGCCAGAGGGTTTTGGGTCTGAAAAAGTGCATGGCTGTGAACTGCATCAAAGGGTCCTTAAGACGGCTATTTCAGTTCACAACCCCATATAAAGGTAGAACAGCTAGCTAGCACGCATCACACATCAAGGCACTAATCACATTCGCATGATCGGTCATGGTAAGTCCTGTATGTTTAGGTCTGGTCGCCGACTTCTAATAATACAAGTTTTACTTATTCTTTTGCCTGGACAGGCCTGTGCTTTGTAGATGACTTTAAGCTCCTAAAAGAGGTAAAGAGTCCGTGCCTCCCTGGATTTCAACCTAAGCATATTTTGTCACGTTTTTTTTGTGTGCGAACCCCTCGAAACCCAGGCATAAATAGAGAGCACCTCTTGGCCCCTAGGCACTTAGCCTTCGAGATAAAAGATTTTACCACCTACTAATTGTCATTCTTCAAAGCTATGCGCACACGCAGTTTTGATTTTCTAATCCTATGCTTGATTTTCCAAGGCAGGTACTAATCTATGCAAGGAGTATTAAGAATCTGTTGCCTGACGGAGCGTGCTCCCGTTTCCTACTATCCATGCCCCACGTACTCTAGATTGTTTGACCTGTTCCAACATTCCACCTATCAATCATGGAGAATAGCCATTGCCCATCAGCAAGGTCCGTATGTTATTTAGACTCTTTGTTTCTCTTTCACTACTTTATGAGTTGCTTGGATCCCTATAGGACACGTTACGAATTATACTATGCTTGGTGGAAGTTGGACATGCACATTCGCAGTGCAGAATTATACCAGAGTTGGTGGGCTTGATAAAGGGCTCCATTTCTAACGTTGTGCGGTTGCCCCTCCGTTTTACCGTCACTAGCGTGTCCAAAGGTGGGACTCCTCTCCGTACCCTGTATGCTCCATCGTAAAGGCTAAATTTGGATGCTGATTGTTCATGAGCTCTAGAAATCACTCAAGGGCATGTTGTTCGCCCGTCCATACCCCAACATAATCATCGATGCATCTAGCTTGGAAAGTCGGTTTGGCTGCCGGCCAGGGCCAACTTGGTCTGAACTTTTACCACCAGAGGATCAGCGCATTGACTCCCCATTGCTATGCTCAATTTCTGTCGAAAGTAACCATCTCCGAACGAGAAGACACTATCCTAAAGACACTCCATGGAAATGTTTGTCTACCTTAGCTTTCACGGCAGCGATAAGCCCTATTGATTGATTTATTGCCATGTAAATTGACAACATCTACACTGAAGAAAATACTGCCCTCCGATAGCTATTCTGCCTGTTAATGTTTGGAAACCCTTTTAAAAAGTCTGTTGTCCCACAGATGCGTGGAGAAAACAACAGCAAAACCTGGGTTGGTTGAGTATTGCCTCCAAAAGACACGAAGTTTTTTCAGTATGAGCACCTCACAGAGATACCACGGGTCTAAAGGGTACTGCAGGCTTATGGTACTGATGCAGCCAATAGAACACAGGCGTTGTGCTGTATTTAAATGTTAGATCTTTGATGGCTTTGTCCGAAAGTTTCCCGCTATCTGTACTCTTCAGCGTTCTTTAGTTTTAGCCTCTACCTGAGGGACTGCATTCCTACTGAGTTTTTTCGTAACTGTCTCCGTCGGTAAGTATAACGTGACCTCTGATCACATAAGTTACCTTTTCTAAAATTACAACACCGTTACACTTATCACTCTGCTTCACCATTATCTCATCATTTTTGCTAAGGTCTCTGATGAAGTTCCGCTGATCTGCAGTGACATTTAGTTTGCCTGTACCTTTCGAACGTGCGCAGTACGCCATGCTTTTATTTATGTACGCTGACTTCTACATCATTACTGGAAGGTCCAGGAAGTTCATTCCGATATCTGGAAATCTCAACGACAGATTCGGGATGCGACCTGGATGCGGCTGACCTTCGTTACCACCTTCTGCGTCTGCCCCACCGACGTCACGCGGTCCATTCGCCAGTCTCGATGGTGCTTCTGTTGCATCTGTTGAAGCTGGTGGTAACCTCGTGTTGAAGTTAGTGTTGAAGTTGGCCCGGTGCAGTCGCGATACCAGTGTGTTGCTACCATCACACAATTTTGAGATGTAGTCTTTCCACCGCTGGTCAAATGCAAAACACTCAACTCCTTCCTCTACCTGAAATAAAATGTCCTTAGACGTTGCGTCTGTGCCAAGTTAGGACTTTGGCTAGAAGACTAACTTTTGCGGTATTTAGGTCTACGGACGATACATTATTCACTCTCTCTTTACTAGTCTGACTAGCGACCAGTTCTGCATGGCCATGATTGACTTGGCGCTCGGCTTAAAGTTGTATGAACTTGTTCACCTATCTTCGTCTATTTTCGCAAGTGGTGATGTCAGAAACTGGTGCATACCTCGCACATGCATAAGCGTGCCTTTTGTACTCTGTAAAACACGAGATCGATTCAAATAACCGTGAGCGTTGTTGTTCTAAATAGGCTTTTTCGAAAGGTTTCTGCGATTGCCTTGTATAATAAAACCTTAACAAGGCCGACGCCTGCGCGGCCCACGCAGTCTGTAGGAATGGGAATGGGGTAAAAGTTGTTGTGTCTGACTTGCAACCGCGCATGCCTCAAAACTATGTTATATAACTTTTCGATAATTGATTCTGACCAGGGGTTGAACACTCAGATGCATATGGGTTGGTCAAATAATCGTTTACGCACATTTTGACCTCATTTCTATCGTCAACGTTCACATGGTGTCCTGAATATCTCCACAGAATCCGGAGGAAATTGACCGAACTTCCGAGTTTTATCGGCCTAGAAAGGATCCGTGTAACTGTTGCGGCGGCATTCTGCTCCATGCAGTCGTTTAACGCCCGCTTACTTTAGTTTAAGACTCCAAAATATGAACAGGATTGCTTCTGGTATCTTCGCAGGCTTCTGTTCCAAATGACTAAATCAAACATAAAAATGAACCGAAAAATCCTATGCTCTTGAGAAAAAGTCGTCAAATCCATTTGTGTGCGTGTGTGGGGGGGGGGGGTTCACCATCCGGGGTTCTTTTCCCATCCTTGCAACCCCCTCTCATCTTACCAAGGCCTTGGCTGCGCCCTTGTGCAATATGATGGAGAAGTGGGCAATTAGGTAACCAATCATGACATTTTCTCACCTGGTCTTTAGTCTCGACCGCTCCTGCCCAGGTGACACTGCCGCACATGTTAAACAATGGTGATGCAGGCTTGCCAACAGAATTTGATAAGAGCTGAAGGCGTCCTTTGCACACACTTAGAGCATTGATACCTCAGACAGGGCGGTCGGCCCGCTCAACAGTTGCGTCGAGGTGGGCCTGACTCCGTCTCTGCCTGGTGTCTACAGACCCCTTCCGACATGCCGAGCCTGAGTGGCCGGTGTGACTGTCACCAAATATTGCCCGATACGTGCTCTGGCAGGCTGAACAGACGATTGTGCCGGTGTTAGCCCGATTGGCACCAGACCGCACACCTCACCCAGGATACACAGGCTGCTCAGGCGCGGGCATCAGGTGCGGAGATGCCAATGTGCTGGCGCTGCACGTGCAATTGATTTGTGCCTTTTTGACCTTTGAGAACTTATGGAGATCAGCTTGAGATAAGACCCAAGCAGTTGTTTTTTATGCTGAAAAATGTGATTTGACTGGTACATTTTGCGTTCGTTTCAACTTAACTGATCAAAAAAAGGTTAACGGCTTTATTGATCGCTTCTCTGAGGCTCATGGGAGGTCCTTGAACTAAAACTACCTTGTTCAACCTTTACATTGAGGAACTTGTCGTCCCGGGATATTTGGTGACCCGGGGTTTACTTCAAATGCCAAAACTATCTTAAAAGATGCTTCATCTTGCAAGTTCAGGAAAAATCACTGATCTGAAATGACCCGGAATTATGACCTCTGGCTTTAAAATGTCGTCTAGATTGCAGAGGATTACAGGTACCCACACATCATTCTCTTAGCAAGGGGTGGGGGGAAGGGTGTGGGGTGGGGGGGGGGGGGGGTAGCCGACCGGAGCTCAGCGAGAATCAATTACGCGTTAGAGCACTTCGGCCACTGATTTGTTAACAATGACTGAGACATGTGCACGTACAGGGTAAAGCGTAACATGGACGGGTAACAGGGACATGGGTAAAACAAAAAGTGGTAGCACCAAGCCTTAGGCAATAATAAAATATACCCGGTACGCAAAGTTCATCGCTATTTGTAGCATGAATACGCCATGTAAGGCTGTGACCAGTATTTTTAATTAATGCAAATAAAGATACCAACATACTTCAACAACATGACGTGATAAGATCAACTGACGTCATATTGTTGAAGTATGTTGGTATCTTTCTTTGCATTAATTAAAAAGCAATTTAATTATTTGACCCGAAGGTCGCGCCTGAAGATGTAAAAGTTTCGCACAAACTAGGACAAAGAGAGTATTCATGCTGTGCAAATTATGCACTCATACGTTTTGAGATCTCAGAGGAAGGAACAAACCCGAGGGAGGCAAACCCCATCCGAGGGCTTCGCTTTCGACCGGCTTCAGACGTTGGGTAGAGTGTGTCGATAGTGAGGATAGAGCGACCATGCTTGCCTGCTACTTGCAATTCGCGACTGCAGCATACGCATGCACATTTTGAGGTAGCTCCAGTCATGGGTTCGGACACGGCGTCAAGCCAGTGCTCGTATGGTTACATTGCTGCATTTTAATATCCAAAAGTTGGGCTATCAAATATTTGGTCGCAAATGATGTAGGCAATTAACGCCACCTATACAATGCTATTTATGGTATTACAAATCTATGGAAAATACAGTGCAGTCCAAACCATTTCACATTCTGAAAGCCCGAAAAGGGTCTTGCATTTATAGCACTTCCGCACAATTGGACTAAAACAACATTCAGAACCCAAAGTTGTTCCGAGCGGACCTATACAAACGGCATTTAGTTGAAGCACACGGACATTCTCGAACAGGTGATAGATACCCGCGCCAAGTAACTAAATGCATGATCGACATAATGTGACAAATCTAGTCATATCGGGTAAACCAACTAGCTGGCGCTAATCTGAGCCATCAGGACTTCAGAATCGATTCCAGATTCGGATTGATGAGGGATAAATGGCAATAAATCGATGAATCTCACTCATTATCGGACCCGGACTCCATCGCTCCCATTCAACTTGTCATATGAAGTGGGGCCGGGCTCAGACACTTGTACTATGAGGTAAGCTACTTGCGGAGCAATGCATTGTCGCAACAGTGTACGTTTTGGTTTGGTCAATTCCATCATGCCATAAACACACAGGATACAAAGCACACTTGCTCCCAAGGCAAGCTGTAAGCTGTTATGTACCATTACCCAATGTTGTACTGCTACCGTACCGTTAGATTGTTTACATTTTGTGGCGCTTTGTTTACGTGACAACAGGACAATGTCGATTTTTGGCTTTCACTATGGTTGGTTATCACAGCCCTTCATTTGAAGTTCCAAAACACGCCGCTCGCCATGTAAGTAATATCATCCCTACGCCATAAGTTGCACAGCAAGCGACAAGCTCAAAGACCAGGCGCCCATGGTTATGTGATAATGGGATTGAGCCAGGATCATAGCCGAGCAAGGGCCGCCAAAGGATCCATGACCTTTCCCTCCACCAAGTGTTTTATATATATACTAAGCAGCTTTGTTGGGGCTCAGAGCAAATTCAACGTTGCTTGATCTCTCATCTAGATAATATCTAAGCGCGTGGTTGGAGATCGCTCTTCGTGTACGCAGAAAGGCTCGTCCATGCCAAGGTTTGCGGCCGTAACCATACCGCATCAGTTTCCGGGTTTGGCGTCGTTGCTGGAGGGCGCCTTCTTCCCAGCCGAGCTGTCTCCGACGGCGACAGTGTTCTGCCAGAAGGCGGCGGTCTGCCTGTAGCAGGAGAACTTCCGGAATGTTATCTCGTTCAGAAACTCGGAGGTTTTACCGGCACCGTCGCCTCCCGCCAGCTGGACGGCGTCTTCCCCTGACCGGTCTACCCCCGCGGCGTCGTCGTCTCCCGGCGCCACGGCGTTCTCGGCGCGCACCACCCAGGCCCAGCGGGCGCTGACCTTCTCCAGCGGCGGCAGCTGCACCAGCAGCGGCGCGCCCGGCCGCTGGCGCCACTGCAGAGGCCCGCCGTCGAATCCCAGCAGTGTGAGGCGGCCGCTGGCCTGCCGCAGGCGCAGACTCCCCAGGCGCAGACGGCCGGCCGGCGGCCAGTCCAGCACGATGGCGTACACGCGACCCTCGCGCTGCGTGTACCACACGCCGGGCGTGACGCTGTCGTTCTGGTGCACCCACGGACGCGACGCGTAGATGGCCTCGCCGCTGATGTTGAGCCACTGGCCCATCTGGCGGAGCCGCTCCTCGAAGATGGGCACGATGCGACCGTCGTGCGTGGGACCCACGTTGAGCAGCAGGTTGCCGCCGCAGCTGACCGTCTCGGCCAACTCGCGGGTCAGCTCCTCTATGGAGCGGATGCTGGCCAGCGAGATGTTGCGTCGGTAGCCCCAGAAGTAGCGGTCGACGGTCATGCAGTTCTCCCACTTGTGCTTCTGCAGCACGCCCGGGTTGTAGTGGTTGTCGCAGGTGATGAAGTCGCCGTGCTTGCAGCCGCAGTCCGTGCCCCAGCGGTCGTTGGTGACGACGCGGTCGCGGATCGGCGAGTCGTTGTAGAGCCAGGCGAGGAACTGCTTGCTGCCCCAGTAGTCGGAGCTGGGCGCCTGGCTGCTGCCGTCCGACCAGATCACGTCCGGCTCGTAGCCATACACCAGCTCGTACAGCTCCGGAATCGCTTTGGCCGCCGGGAATGTGTTCTGCGTGAAGTTGCTCGCCTTGTCCGCCAACCAGTGCGGGTTGAAGTACTCGAACAGCGAGTAGTAGACGCCGAAGCGAATGTTGGTGCGGTTCCGCACGGAGCGCGCCAGGTCGCCCACCAGGTCGCGATTCGGCCCCGTGTCGACGGCGTTCCAGTTCCAGGCGTACTTGCTCGGCCACAGCGTGAAGCCCTCGTGGTGCTTGGTGGTGAGCACCACATAGCGCGCGCCGGCGGCGGCGAACAGGTCCGCCCAGCGATCCGGCTCGAAGAACTCGGCCGTGAACTGCGGCGCAAAGTCGGCGTACGTGAAGCCCGGTCGGTAGTTGCGCCGCATGAACTCGACGTGCGCCTTGTTTTTGTCGCCGCGCCACTGCTGCCAGAACCAGGCTTCGCCGAAGCTGGGCACCGAGTATACGCCCCAGTGCAGGAAGATGCCGAACTTGGCCTCGTCGTACCAGGCCGGGATCGGCCGCGTGTCGAGCGATTCCCACGTGGGCTCGTAGCGGGCCCGGCCGCGGCCCAGCAGCGCCCACGTCACGGCCAGCAGCAGCGGCACACGCAGCATGTCGCTGGCAGGGGCGCTTCACACGCCGCTGCTGCGCTGGTCACGCCTGCGTGGCGGGAGAGCACGTCCAGCCGCGGCGGACAGGCAGCGGAGAGCCGCGAAGCACTGCAACCGGCGTGGGCTCCACACTCACACGTCTGCCGGCTGCAGCCTGACTGCGGGCGGCCACCGCACGCGCTACTCAGCCGCTCCTTGTACCCGGTGACTGGCCTTGAACTGCGCTCGGTCCCTCGCAACGCCCGTTCGCTCTCGTGTCGTCGCGGCCCCCCAGCTCCTGCGAGGCCGCCGGCGATACCCTGGTGACGGATGACAACAGACGGGCCCTCGGCGCTGCGACGCGAGCGGTCGATCGGCGTTATGAGCCGGCACGTGGCTGACGGTGCACGGTCCACACGCAAACAGACCGGTCAGCGATCCCAGCGATAGAGCCGCCGCCGGCGGCTGGCTGCCGCACTGGCACGGCGCCAAACGTTGGAGCCGGCTAACCACGTGTGCAAATGCTCCAGCTGCCGAGACCCCAGGCGAGAGCACACTGAGAACAAGGCAAAACGCTTATAAATAAGCTTGCATCAGATACGTTAGCTGTCAGAGATGCTGCCAGGGGCCTCACACGCCTAGTGGCTGACCAGCACCGTGTCAGCTACTTTGAGGATTTGATAGATTTGCTTACTATGGCCGTGTCACATTTATATGCTTCATTGAGCACATACAACCTTGCCTCTTAAGGTCTTTCCCTGACGTCATGTTTCAACGGAACGGAGAAGCACCGAGTTGTCTTCCAATCGACGGAAATCGATTTCTGAAGGAACGAGTAAATGAATGGATATCAATCTTGCAATCTCAGATAACTAATGAATGACGCACGTCATTCGTGAGCTTTAAAGCACATGCTCTATGCGGTGCCCTTTGAAAGTTTAAACATTTTCAAATGGAATGTTCCACATTTATTTTGGGGATTTTGAACTAAAAAAACTGTCTTGAAGGTCTGCCCGAAGACGTGATCAAACGATGATATATTAGGGACAATCTTAACTAAACAGAGATATTGTATTATCTAGAGCAGCCTTTTCCACTAAGAATATCGACAATTGTAGGTGAGCTAACTGGTGTCAAGTATGATGCCTGCTTAAATATCTTTAGATATGGAACATTTCCTTTACAGGCGTGTGCCATCCTAGACGCATATTTCCAGACAAACATGCTCTGTGCGTGTCATTGGAGCTTAACGACGCACTCAGCTGCTAAGGGTACATGCGTCGTCTGTCTCTCACCCTGGCAGGAAAGGCGGACACGAAAAACATGCTCTGGTGAAAGCTCAGTAGCAGTTATATCTAACAGCAACACTGGAGAGCGCCATATTACGAGGTGCTCCCCACCAGAAGTGCCACCAAGAAGATAAAAGGGCAAACCAATTACAGTCATTTTTGAGCCGAACGTAGTCAACGTTTCGCCGCAGACTTTTCTCTTTGAGCAGCCCATTTTTTGGCTGGACGTTCTTAACGGAATATCTTCGCCGTTGCGACTGTATGCTGATAGGTTACGCTGATCTTGTTCGAAACTGGTGTACGAACTGATATGGAATATATATATATATATATATATATATATATATATATATACAATTTACTTGGGAACGCCAGCATCCAGCTCTGGTTACACATAAGTGGGGTAGTCAGAATGTACTCCGATATTTATGGATATGTGGATAAAATGACTGCCTATAGCTGCCACGCCCGGTGGCGTAATTGATATAGCGATGAGCGAATTTAAGCAGCTTTATAAAGTAACCTTATGAACACTCCTGTCGCCTCTTGTGTTTTTCCCAATTCCTGGAGGGTTGCCTCTGTCATCCCTCTTCACAAACCTAGCCCTCGTGAGAGCGCTGGTAATTTCAGACCTATATCAATTTCACTTGCGCTGTCAAAACATGAGAACAAATTATGCACGAGCAGCTGTCGTCCTACCTCATTGCCCATGGTCTTTTAGCTCCATCACAGTACGCTCGTAGACCTTGTTACCCAACACAGGACGCCCTCGTCAACGCCAGTTGAGTGGGCGGTACGTCGGGTTGGCGTTGGAGACATTGTCATCGTCACCTCCATTAATCTCAGCCGTGCCTTTGATGGTGTCGACCACGGTGTCCTGATTAAGCTGCAGTGATATGGCATCGATCCGAAATGGCTTGAGAGCCACCATGCTGGTCGGCAGAAGGTGGTGAGATGCGGTCCTCTCTCTTCTCTGCTGACTCAAGGGATCCCTCAGGGATCCTCGGTCGGCCCCATCCTCATCATCTTCACTAACGGCCTTTCATTTCACCGCCCTCGCGGACGGCTAGTGTCCTATGCCGACGACAATTGACTGCTAGACTCCGCTCATCCGGACCAATTGTCTGTTTTGAAACCCCGTCAGGAGGAAACCAGCCAAGTGATTTCATCCCACTTCACATCCAACCCCCTTAACTGAATCCCACCGAAATAGCCGTTATCCTGCACTCCACACTCCATGAAGAGAACTTCATCTTTTCACCCCGACATTACGAGACACAAGTTAAGCCCTTCACCGGCCCTGAACGTGCTGTGAACTACTACTGAAAGTACCCTTTTCTGTGAGGTGCATTCATCCCATGTTGTCAAAAAGTGCAACTCAACTTTTCTTTTGTATAAAATTAAACTTAACAAGGACAAGGACTTAACAAGGTGGTAAACAACTTTTCTATTTGTATAAAATTCGTCACCACTTTACCCTCGCAGTTCGTAAACTTCTCGTCCAGTCCCATGTCTTCCGGAGCCCCATGCCCGCAGCCCCGTAGCCCCCTTCATCTTCTGTGCTGCCTCTCGGCCTGTGGCGGAGCTGCAGGCGTGTCATCTAAACGGAGTGCTAGAGGCAGATTAACTTGGGAGCCAGGATCGCCCTCGTCACCGGCACTCGTCGGCGAGGTTCAATGGCGGTGACTGCTCAAGCGCTGGGCCGGCGCGGTGTCAGTGACCTTGTCACTCACCGTGACGGTCTGGCTTGTACAGGGCCTTTAAAGGGAATGTCCCATATCAAAATATAGTTAAGAACGCGCCAGATATGATGAAATACGCTCACCCATACGCATTGTTATACTTTTAATTGGAGAGGGATGATCTAGACGATACATTTCTCCTGTGAAGTAAATATGCACATCAATATGCAAGTCATTGAATGCGTCTTCCTACCTGGCACAACACTGATTGAGAGCCGATTGACGGCCGTGATATCTGGAAATCGTGCTCACGGACGCCAAATATGAAGGACTCGATGTCGTATTGCACCTGGCCTTGGTCGCCGCATGGCCAACAGCATGCATGGCCTAGATCGCTGCATGGTAGGATTTGAGGAACGTTTTCATGGCGTCATGGATACACGGGCAAACTCGAAAAATCCCCGAAGTAGTATGCACCTGCCTGCGGGCGTTTAACTCAGATACTAAAAGATCTTAGGTCTTAAGAAAGGCAGGTCCGTGAACTGCATCGGATAATCTTCAAGATGGCTATTTCAGTTCAAAAGTCCATACAAATGTTGACCACTCGCTTCTAATGATTCGCGGGTCCCGTTGACGATTCAATCCCTGTTCAACCCACGTACCGTCGTATGCCAACGTGCCACCTGGGCGGCAGCGACGGGCGCCCTTGATCTGCCAGCTGTTCGCATGTCGATGGTACGCAGTTTTTTTCGCACCGTGCAGCATCATCCTGCGAGCCACCTACCGCCGGCCATCACTGGCTTTCTCACCCGCAAGGGCGTTCACAGACTCTACGATAATGACGGTCCCGTTGTGCCATCTTTGTTTGCTTGTCGTTGTGTAAAATGTTTTGTCCATTTAGATTTAATTGATTATTTTGTTTTGACGAAGTTGTGTGAACGTCGGGATGATTGATAACCTGTGAATGTGGTCGCATGTTTGACAGTGTCTTCTGGACTATATTCGCTGCTGTCATTCACTTCTGCACCCAAATACAAACCGGTAGGGAAACGATGTTCTTCCCTGTTTATGGTCTCACTGCATGGGTTTGACTGGAGTGCTTCGAAAACGCTGTGGGCGGTTTTTGCCATATTTTAATATTGCATTTTTACTTACTATTGCGGTTGTACCAAATCAGACAATGAGCAACTCGTTGGAATGATTCGTGAATGAAATGAACATGTTTGAACATGTGCGTCACTAAACCACGTGATATATCGTTGGTGCATAGGTGTCCAGGGGCAAACACAGCCTTTCAGTGAGCTGAACATCCATGTTCACAATGTTTCCGAAAGCTCAAATAGTCTTCAAAAACATTCGCCGTGCAATACGCCATGGGGAAAACCAAAGTCACAGCATGGCGCTTCGCTGTGCCATAAAAGTTACGTTTGAGGTAAGTTTCGGTAACGTAGCCGCTATTGCGTCGCGGGCACGTCGCCAATTTTAAAGGAAATTCTTACTTGCTGAACGAAATTGCCATGTAAACGGCAGAAAATCATGTCTTCAATTGCACGTCCCTGAGACGTAAGCTGGGTTACGCTGGTCGGGTGAATGTGTTTAACTAAGGGACCATAAGGCATTTGTATTCGTATTTGTAGTTGTGCGTTTGCTCGAAAACCATCCTCAAAGTGTCTTTTCGGGTCTTCTGCTCGTTAAACATTCGCTAGCTTCGGCTTGTACATCACTCACTCACTCGTTAAAGAGTGAAAATTCATGGGCATGAGCACGTTATGAGCCTCATCGTGTTAGTGCACCTGGCTATGATGATGGTATTATCAATCCTGGTGTTCAGAGTGGGGCGTGAGCCACGGGCTGCTCTTAGGCATCTACATAGCACAACATATCTCACATAATTTCTTGAATAATGGTAAATAGATGATAAGAAGTCCAGAAAACCGTACCAATAAGGAAACAGATGCACAATATGATATATATATATATATATATATATATATATATATATATATATATGTGTGTGTGTGTGTGTGTGTGTGTGTACATAAACTTAAGAAGCACATTATTCCTCACACAAATTGTATTGAAAATCACAGCGGACTGATGATCTTTTTCGATGGTTTGGCAACAAGAAAATTTTAATATGAGGAATCAAATTCATCAACTAAAAAAATGAAACTAAAATTAAGATAACTTAAAATGATATTTTTACCAATACAAACGCCACAAAGGAGACTGTGCGCCGCTGTCATCTAGAGCTGATATTGGCCACACAACGACAATTTCCAGACGTCTGACCATGCACCAACAAAACGGCGGCCCGCGCACACACACGGAGATCCAACACAAAACCCACCTGACACGAAAAGTGCTCAACAACAG